GGCTTAATCAGAAGGCCACGACATTTCGTGGTTCAAAATAACATTCTGGAACAGTGCAGGAGTCATTTATGAAATGATTCAAATAATTATGGTATTTATTAATAATGATAATATACTCTGCTTCATATTTAATAACTGAAGAGAAAGACGTTTGTAATTAATAATAATAATATAATTGTATAACTGAAATGATACTATGTTGCTTCAAGCTAAACATTCACCTCCATCTGATGCTGTGGTTAAAAATTCTTAAAGCTATACCTTCACTCCCCCCATACATCTGCACAGTGTGGTGCATTTTTAAGCACCAGGAATAAATTAACTTTACCATGTTATCTCAGAGTGTGAGAAAAAGAATGTTAGCCTACGTAAACTTGAAGCATCGATGCACTTCCTCGAACAAAGTTTATTTTAAATGCCTTTCAATATTATCCTTCTTTCTATGTATACATATCTCTTCATAAAAACCACGGGTAATTTGATAGTAAATTGTAAGTTTTGACCTTATGCGTGCAGGATGAATTTCTGTTCATTCCATGATTATAGTGGACAGATCTGTGCTAGAACACTCTTCAGCTTAACTGCCTGCCTTCTACTTCATCATTCTTCTACTTTCATCTTCTATCGACTTTTATATTCTGTCATATTCATCCTATTTTTTTCCGTATCCAGTACACACCATTCAGCATGGTGTGCATTGGTGGTTAGCAGGATTCACGACCCATCAGTACATGGGTTTGACCGGGACCACAACATTTAACGCTCCTCTTGTGACCCCCTTTTCGCGAGATGATGACGAAAGTGGAGTAATTGTTGGGATGCCACGGAGAAACCGGGGAAATCCCGGAGGAAAACTCCGTGATGCCTAGACAACGGCCTTGCCCGACACAAGTTATAAATCTGAGCACCGCCGGGAATCGACGCCAGTATTACAAGCCCAGCGTTCTAACCGCTAGACCACCGTGGTGGTTATTCAAGTTCCTTCACCAGTTTTAACATCTAAACTGCATCAACCCATAAATCCTACTAACCTTGTCTTTACCAGTTTCAATGGCCAACCTGTAACAACCCCAAAATTACCATCTGTGTCATTTTCTCTAATATCCCAACTCCTATACCATCATCAGTCTTGACACCCAAACTGTGAACCCCATAACTGTCCCTTGCATAATTCGCCTCAATTATCTCACCTTCTGTGCCTTTATCAGTTCTGACACACACGCAGTATCAATCCCATAACCACGATGCCCATATTTTGTTGGTGCATTACCAGTGAGAGCAACACATCTTTGTCCGCTTGAATATAACAGCTTTCTTTTCACTAACAAGAACGAAAGCCAGCCAAGCATCTGGTATGAAGATGACTGTCTTCTGATACATTGCACCGTACAGTCAGATATTGACCAATTTTTCATACATGCTTACTGCTTCCAGAATTATATTATTAGGGTGATAAGTTCCTGATGATGGAGGCAGTAAATACCTCTGAAATCTTAGCCAATTTCTACGAGATTACATGGAGCAACATCTCAGAAGTTACCTCCGACCAAAACCTGATCTTCATGTTTCTACCTGTATTTATCAACAACTTCCTTTTGGCTAACCTCACAAATAATCGATACCTTCCCATATCAGATAATCATACTTTAAAGAATTATTCAGTTCTAATTTCATCTTGATATGATTGTGTGCTAGTACTATGCCCCTCTATAATGTTATCTAAACACTTATTACAGTATATTTACTAATAAACAATTACAACTTAATGACCTTTTGAGTCTCGTACACGTGACATTCATTGTGCAGATAAAATTCATTGTTTTCTTGCCATTATTAATGGCCATTTAATCATCAGTGGTCAATGTTTCTCTTAGCCCTCTTTTTTATTTGGTAAAGTAATTCACAAATTCAACTAATTATTGTTCATAACCGTATCACAGCCTCTTAAAATATTACCACAAGTTACTCCAAAATGTCATGTGTTCTAAAATAGTCACGTACTCATAGAACCTGGGAAACTGAAAGTGACAACTGAGATTTTATCAGGAAATGCTTATTTTGAGTATTCCAGTGTTTGTCTACAAACTTCTAATATTTGACATTTATGTTGTTGCTATATCATAGTGCATAGATTCAGATTTGCATTATGTAGAGTAGATAGTGACAAATACGTAAAAACAGTAATAACTGAAAAATCATATGCTCCTAGATAAAGCGATATAATTTATGTTTGGTTTTCACAACATTTATCCTGTTTCGCTGTTTCTTACGAGATTAATGAAGTTTCCGAGAGTAATTAAAACACAAATATTCCCATTAAAATGTGAGACTTTATGTTCTGCATTAATATAACTGTCTCTGAGTATGAGGAAGAAATTCACAGCTCGAAGATCAGCGAAGGAATAACCATTTCAAAATTAACATCTTATTGTGAGCAATTCTTAATTTGAGTGAGACTGTCTCTGGACACCTGTGCATTCGCTCACCTGATTGGGTTCATTGTTTGGTGTAATGATGACAGTTCCGAATCACATTTTTCAGTTTCTCAAAAAGAGTTCCCTAACTGAAGGGAATGTATGGAAGTGGTAGCTGATGATGAAACATTGTGCAGAATATGATGTTCAGTGTTTTTGTTCACTCTCCACTTGTTCCACCGTTGCGAAGTCCAGCTTTCAGGTCTGGAGGAACTTGTTTGCGAAAACAGTCATCGAGGAAATTTGCCATTGATCGGTATAGATGCCGCATTACACCGCTTAAACTATGACTCTCATCGGGGTAAACCTGCAGAAGATAATTAAAATTACGAAACTTTTCATTCATGAAAGAAATTAAAACAGAACAGGAACGTGATTTATTTCTTTTAAAGAAATATTTCCCAAACTTTATCACACTATGGACCACTTTTTTAAATTCAAGTGTGTGAGCCCCATGTAATTAAACATTTTTCCCTCATAATTTACTTTTAACATGACTGTCCTGTATCACCTGAATGAATACTGACAGAAGAATGAAGCCCTCTTTTATTCAACACAGTTTTGAGGTTAAGGGATATTTAACCTAAAATTACAAATTTCAGATTTGAACAACATATAAAGTGGACTTTTATGTATAAAATACTGCAGTGTTATTTACCTGCTGGCGGAAAAGGACACCCTTATTTGCTAGATTCTTGGCGAGTGTCATACTCTGCTGAAAGTGCACATTGTCATCTGCAGTTCCATGGACCAAGTAGAACATTTTATCACGTAGTTGTTCCACTCGCAAATTTACGTCAGCCTCCTCATATCCTTTATAATTGCCTGTTACATTTGGCAGTCCCATGTATCGTTCTGCATATGCAGAATCTGAGGAAATACAAATGTTATTACACCCGAACGTGTTCAGTAATATGACGTGTCGCTTGGCAGTAATCCTTTGGTTCATTAACATATGGCACTCTATCGCGTTAAATTAGTTCAGTCTGAATTCCATATTAAAATTGTTGGTCTTAGCAACATGATTTTTCTGATTGGCAGGTGCCTGATTCGGATTAAGAACTCGAAATGGTTAAAGAGGTTATACAGTATAAGGAATGTTAAATAAATAAGTGGACAATATGTATATTTCTGAGGAGGTCAGCTGCATCCATTGTTTTTATGGCAATGGAATCTGTTGGCAAAGGAAAAATTAGGACGAGTTCCATAAATTCAATGGAGATTTATTTTAATAAAACCAAAGATGTATACATTTACTCATTGGACAAACCCTGCATTGTAGTCTGAACACCAGAGGCTGTTTGCCTTATCAAAACCATACTTAAATTTGTCTAAACTAACCATATAGTCTCCATGATGTGACCGGAGCTACAGAAATACCACAGTGGAAGATTTCTTGTTCCCGAGCTAGGGCCATGGCTGCCATAAAACCTCCATAGCTCCACCCCCAAACAGCAACACGCCGTTTGTCCACAAAATGAAGGGAATCTCGTAGATACCTACAAGAAAATGTAGAGTATGTTAATTCTGCTATGAAAAATTAAAATTATTATTATTTTTCCGGTTTAACAATGTTTGTACATTTTCCGGTACCCTTTACGGGTCTCCAACTTTTTTTAGTTGGCTCGATCTATGGACATTCGGTAGGACTCCTTGGATGAGGGATCGGTCCGTCGCAAGGCTTAAAATTAAAATACGAAACTTACAAAAGAGGGTTAATAAGGGATGTATCCTGTTGCATGTTGATCATTACAAGAGTAATCTAATATGTGAGTTATAATCATATAGTGTATTCTTACGCCTCTGTGTCCAAAATGTGAAATGATTGCACTTGAAGAACAAAGCTCAAAATTAATTATAATTCTAAATAAGACATGAACAAAAGGTACAGAAATGGATTAAAGATTTGTATCTTATTAAGTCAGATAAACTGCCCATCTTGTGGTAGAATGGTTTCTTGTTTGTCGTATGAAATTTATGACTATGGGACACTGGTATTTCTTAGCAGTGCAGAGGTCTTATAGTACTCTCGTCCTCTATCGAAGGATCCCTATCACCAGTCTACTAGGATTTAGGGAATCTTTACAATAGAAGAGACCAGGACTAAAATTGGGCTGCTGTTCTGAGAATAATAATAAAACAAAGAAAAATAAATGATGGTAGTAATGGTAAATAGTGTAAGAAGAAGATTAAGTAGACTAATAGACGATTCCATTCTATAAGTATAGGAATTCTAATCCAATCCATCCACACCTGTGATAAAACAGATATACGAATTCTCTAATTTCTTGAAAAATTAGACGTTTGGATTAAATTTTGTAATTGGATTTCTGAGAGCTGTTTTTGAGTGTTGTTACAGAAATCAGTGTGATCACTAGAAATACAGTATCATTCTTTAAAATTTAGACGACTTTACTTTAAAAATTAGCTCGTTTTCCATTTAAGAAGCTAACATAATATTTTTAACTGCTAGTCTTACAGCAACCAAGTTTTTAAAAAGACACGGAAAGTAAAAATTTATAAGCCACGGACAACGGATATTATCCAAGTCATCTTTATGTACAAAGCATCTTCCGTCTGATATATTACTTTTAATATAATTGAATGATTACTGAATGTCAGCACTTACGCGGTAACTTCCAACTGATCTGCCACTTCAACTGTGCCAAGTTTCATATACACTTCATGAAGCATCTGATACCCCTGGCCTCCTGAGCCCCGTCCGTCAATCTGTGCCACGATGAAGTCTCGATTCCCTGCTAAGTATGTACTCCAATCCATCTTCCATCTTTCTGTCACAATTTGTGATCCTGGGCTACCATATCTGCAAAGCAATTACCACACAAATAAAGTGGTAACAACATTGTGATCTGAATAATGCCATTCTTCCAGTGTACTGCATTGAGGCACAAGATTAGGTTTAGGAGTTTGTGGTACTTCTAGGTTAAAAATGCGTCTTCAATAAGTCTGTCATTGCTTATGATAGCAATATCATATATGCAGAAACGATTTTAAGAAGCAAACAAAACACTTCAGGAAGGAACTTCAAAGGAACACAAACTGTCATGAAACACCAACTCTAAAAACATGAAAATCACTCACATGCCCGTTTTCGACAATTTAAATTACAAGAACGTTTTGGAAAATCTTTGTGGCCACATCATCCCACCGTATGAATTTGACCATCCGTCAATTTGGTATTACTACTTGCAAGAAATTGCACGGTGCGAGCCTGGAGTAGTGTCCATTGGCTAACGACCATAGCAAATTTCATGAAAATCCGTTCGACCATTCCCTAGTTATAAAAAACGCGCGTGCGTGAATGGTGTGGCGTAATGTATACATAAAATGGTGGTTGTTGGTGTTATCGTTCCATCTCAGGAATTCCATTATCCATCAAATTGGAAATGAAGACGTACTATTGTGGACTGGGCTCCAGTGTCGCAGTATTCATGCCAAATTTTATGAAAATTATTTTATCCGTTCCCTAGATATTACAGGACCGAACTGAAACTGTTCGTAAGGACATCGATAGATGGCAGCATGCCCTCTTCGATCGCAAGACGCGGCGGATAGAAATGGACGGGCCCATGTGTTCTTCGACTACGTTAAAGCGCAAAGCACACATGTTTAATGCAAATTAAAATTTCATACCAGATTGGATTATTGTTAGAACTGCTTGTATATATATTCTTCGTCACTCGGCTACCAAAAATCCGAATGTATGTGTATGAACTGAAAACAGATCTAATGTCACAGAATATTTTCGTTCTCTGTCGATACATAATACTGACTAATGCCTGATTTAGTGCTTTCAAACTGCGTTATGAAGAATTTAGCTTCTACTCTATTCTGATTATTTAAATGTGTTTTTATTTTATTTTAGGAAAGTGCTGGTTTCCCTGTACTATATTTCTCTGTACCTAACATGTTGATAATCTTCATAAGATTACTTATTTTGTAGTCTTTATATTCGTAAACATAATAGTAGTTGATGGCAAGACCATTTTACCCACGGCCTTGGCCACATATAAACTACAGGGTGATATCTAGTTTTTTTTAAATGCCACCAATCGTCGTAGTCGAATCGTTGGGTACCCTGCTTTATATTCGAAAGGTCCCAGGTTCGAATCCCGGCCCAGAGACTGGCTATCCTGACTATGGTTTTTGTGGTTTTCCTCAGTCTCCCCAGTTAAATACCGGAATAGTACCTCAAATTAGGCCACTACCGCTTTCTTCCAATTCATCACTTGCTGTCATCCTCTCATCCGCACTCTGTGGTGTAGACAAGTCTAGGTATTGAAAGCGTCGTTATATAAGTTATAAATAAATTTAAAAACACCATAGTAAAACTACTTATTCCTACTCCAATTATTACAGAAATCGTGCAGTCATACATTCAAGATGCCAATGATGATGTGTGAAACAAATTTATAATTACAGTTTTCCATTTTAGCCCAGTTTCCCCTACGTTCCTCGAAAGCGATGCGTTCAACGAATCCGCGTTATGCGAATTTAACATTGTGTGGGGTTAATGGGGATACGGGAACACGGTCGTTTGAAGTCTAACTGGCTAAATAAAATTCATAAATATGCAATAATTACATTAATTTGTGAACTGATTGTGTAATATAATAAAGTAAAGTAAAGCTGTTCCACTATACTCCATGTTGGCGCTTTGGGGGGAAGGTTTATTGTATATATTTCTGGAACTTAAGCTTCAGTATTGTTCATCAGTCTTTACACAACAATTTATAAATAAATACATTTTTACTTCGGTGCATTGTTTATCAATGTCCAGAATTTCATTAATTAAGTACATTAAATAAATGACGCACCGAAGTGAAAAGTTATTTGTAAATTATTGTAATGACTAAGAATCAATATTGAAATCAGTAGATCCATAACATAACCTTGAAATACAATTTGCTGTTTTTATAGAATATATTTAACATAAATACCTAAGGTCTAAAATGTAACTTTATTCAAGGATTTATGTATTTGTCACCGCCTTGAATGTATATTGTTTGGTAACAAAAATTATTGAATATAATTTCTCTTATTTTTCAAGTTAATAGATTTGACACGTGTTTTGAGAAATGGTTTTGGAAAGATTTAAACACACATCCTGCTGTGAAAGACGTCTCGTTACATGTTCTTAGAACAGGTGTTGTGTATGAACCCCAAAGGGATAATATGTTTTAATGACAGAAGATAATTTTGTAGAATAATACTTACACGTGTACGACTAATGGGTAACGTGTTATTTCTTCTTCCCTGAGTCCGGGGGGCAGATGAAGTCGAACCTGCGCGTTGTATCCTCCTGATATTTGAACAGGGAATGTTTTAACCTGTGGTAGTGCCATTTTGGAAGCCCTCTCAATTAGTTGTGTGTTATTTTGTAATGTGGCAAGAAGTTTTGGAGCGGTTCCCCGTGTAGCATAAAGTTGTACCGTTGGCACGCCAGGTCCCAGGCATTCCAGTGCATAATAATTTAGTCCTGGACTGAATACCACATTGTGGTACTGGCACGGTTGAACCAGGACGTCCATCGCATCCCACCGTTGTTTCTGCTTTCCTAGAATTCATGGTTTAATCAAATATAATAACAAAGCAAGGTCATACAGTCACTGGGGAGACAGACTTATAAAATCTTTCTCGTAACTTAATTTTTCTTCAAGTTCTTTGAACGTCTACATTTTATAACTCACTCAGTTATGTGTTATGTGAGATTTCAGGTTCTCGCAGTGACAAGTATCAAGTTGACTGCCAACCCCCTTGGTTGCGTTTTAAAAACTTGAGAATTTTATTACGTGGGTAGCATTGAAATAAGAATTAAATTTTTTAGGAAGAAATAATGTATTTCTTTGAATGTATTTCATGTAGCAGTGTATCGAACGAACCCTTTCTCTTCTGCAGAGGTGATTGTGTGGGTGCAGGTGATATTTCATCATCTCCTTCCCCCCACTCTTCGGATTCTGTCTCACTATTAGCTCCTGACCTTCCACCTGCCATGGATGCGTAATATGCCGAGTATGGATGGTGGCTCGGTTGCTCGGGTTGGCAAGTGAGACACTGGGGGGCATTCAGAGGCACTCCTACCCGGGGCGATGACGAACTTGTTCGATATAAATGTAGTTGTCCAGGGTGTCCTTCTGGTATGCCCAAGTAATATCTGCAGTGGAAGGAATTGTTACTGCTTACATGATGGACATGATGGATGAGAAATATCTATAAAATCTCACAACATATTTTAAAAGTAAAGTAAAGTTTGTCCCGCTACGTGGGGTGAGTGGAGGTATAGCTCCTCTCTTTCTTGACCTCGGCACTAGATGGGGATGAGTGGTCAGCATCTCGCCCCGGCTGGCTTTACCCCCGGGAAAGGACCCCGGTACCCATTGTGGAGGAGGCTGGGTGGGCCCCAGAGCCGGTCTGGACGCAGAGGCTAGAGGAAAAATCCTCTACCCCCGTCGGGGATCGAACCCCGGGAGTCCATCCCGTAGCTAGTCACTATACTGACTGAGCTATCCTGGCCCATCACAACATATTTTACTTACATAATTTCCATTCCTTAATTTGAGGAGAATATCATATTTCACCATTATTTTCACGATAAAACAGTGTGACTACTTTCATACAAAAGTGCAACTTATGAATTATGTAAGATTGTTGTGAGGTTATGTCCAAATTTGGAATATTATCTATAATCACTGTCTCTCGCAGTATTGCACACTACGTAGAGCAGTGTGGTTTAGAATTATTAATCATTGTGGTACATAATTTGAATATGTTTTAAGTAATTTGTATTTTGTTTAAATATTGTTAACAACTGATTCAAATTGACATCACAAATTTTAGGAAGTAATGTAATATTACGTACTCAGTTGAGCATGTTGACAACGGTTCTGTACATTTTTCAATAAATTACATGATCATTCATTCTTTCCATGGCCTGTCTCTACTTTTATGACAATTTTCTGTCTTTCCCACTCGTCTATCTTTGTTATATCCCTAATTTATTGATCTCTTGACCACTTCTGTAGTACGCATAACAGGTGGAAAAGTATGTGTAAAAATAAATAATTTAAATGTACATATTCTGCAAACATGCTAATCCTGATTAATTGTCATGTACGAACTTACATTAAATTTTCAGTATGGTCCCATGCTAGTATCTTAGCCACTTCAAATTTTCCGTGTGTAAGTGGTAGTACCCTTTTCTTGGGTATATTAACTGAAACTATGTGTCTGAAGAAGCCCGCATGCCCATCACGAACAGGTGATATTGTAACGTAGTTGTTGCCGTCTGATGAGAAAAGAGGTGCTTCTTGTGAATCCACCCAGCCATGGCCTTCCCCACTTACTCTTTGTGTCTGGAACAGAAACATTAGTTTTTCATAACTGTTTTGCTTTTAAAATAATAGTACTGTCCATCTGCCTGCAAGTGATAAGGCCAATTTTGACTAATGAGCGGCCCAACCACGTACGAGTCTGGCTCGGCGAGCTTGACTCCTGAGCCGGGCTCGGATATATTTTACCACACACGCATAGCAGACTCGGCTCGTGAACCCCACCCACAAAGGAGTTTGGCTCAATGGAACCGAGCCGAGCCGGACTCGCGAGCCAAACTCGTACGTGGATGGGCCGCTTAAATTTATTTTGAAAGATCCATACTAAATTTTGTCACACTTTTTGTTTCTAATTTAGAACTTCTATTATACTAGTACTACAATTTATGTTTTCATTCAGTTGAATCTATTTTAAGTGTTGCTATTTGTAAGGGTCCATTTTAACTTGTACGTTTTTTTAGTCAAACAGCGGATCATCTGCAACAGTGGCATATAGCTGCAAGAATTCAGTATTGTCATTAGTTTTGTTGTATTGCGAAGCACAAGGAACAGCTTTTACAGTTGACATTTATTATATTTGTGGTTGTTTACCTCTTGACAGTACCACATTGGACTCTTGCAGACTGTAACTATAGAGAGGTTCTGGGGTCTGTTCATCCACACGACCGATACTTCGGTTACGCTCACCCATGTTACTGCTGTGAAGTAATATTCACTGCAACAGTTAATAAAATTGCATTGCAAACATTTATCACTCAACTATGTTATTTTCAGACACAAACTTTAGCTTAAGCTGGAAATTCCTTTGCAGAACTTTGGTGGAAACAGGAACACAAAATGTTGCTTTCTAAGTCATCGTTCAAGTTCAGAAATTTATGAGCACAACTTGTTGGTACGGACTGAGTTTGTGCATTGTCTGAATTAGTGAGGTTTTGTTGTACTGTTAAAGATATTTGTCACTGTCTAATTTATTGTTTGAGTTCTGTTATGAACTGATTAATCTTACTTGGTGTGTTGTAATGCCCCTGGAGGTTTAAGGTCTCTTGTGCGTATGTTCTTTGGATCAGCTAGGTCTGCTACCCATAATGACACTAAAGGATTTGGTGTTCCAGGCTGTGAAACAAAACAGGATAACGTATAAGCAGTGTCGATAGCAGCCGATCAGTGGTTACTATACATTTACGTGTATGTGCGATAGATGTCTAAATGAAGAATTACGATTGTAACTCCGTTGACAGACAGTATGTTGAGCTACTCCAGATATTATCTATCTTTTATGGAACCTTTGTGTTCATTACTATGTTCGCAAATGCATGTACACAAATATAATTAGATATAGCTGTTTGACCTTTGGATAACGTAGGCTGCGTATTTCTGGGTAAAGTTTTCCTTCGTCTTGCACTGCAAACCATGGAAAGCGCTGTTCCTCCACCATCGTGTCATTAAATGTTGCATATAACATGAGATGTCCATCATCTGACATCCACAGTGCCTGGTTGCTACTGAGTACCTCTTCTGTAACATCAGTATATAAACAGCAAATAAACATCATACGTAGAGGCCTTGCGACGGGCCGATCCCTCGTCCAAGGAGTCCTGTCGAATGTCCATAGTTCGAGCCAACTAAAAAAAGTTGGGGACCCGTAAAGGATACCGGAAAATGTACAAACATTGTTAAACCGGAAAAAGAAGAAGATTAAACATTATACCAGAGACGTACAAGTCAGAAAGTTAAGTTCTTTCTGGTGCTTAATTCAGCATAGTACTATGGGTGAGTGGGGGTATAACTTTGCATACGTATTCTTAACCTCAGCTCTAATTGTAGTTGAGTGGTTAGTTTCATATTCCGGACTCTTCACTTCCAAGAATTGAACCCTGGGCATCCACCCCTAGTCAGTTGTCACTGTAACAGAATAGTGGTTCCCTAACTCCATGCAGCCTTTTCTTGGAGCAGAGTCCTAGTAGCGTACATAGCATTGTCTTTTGTGGAATTTGCCATTTATTTTCAAAACGGAAAGAATTATTGAATTTGTAGTATATACATATATGATACGGTCACCTTCATATAGCCAGTCGGTGACACCATTGCTGACAATCCCAGGCACGGCACTATTGGTAACTCTGTAAGATTGACTCCCTCTGGGACTGAGCAGATAGTAGATGTCGTAGTTGTACACCATGACGAGGGAGTGGCCTCTTGGTGCCCAGTCAGCATGGAGTAGAAATGGATGACCCTCTTCGTCTGGCGTTGGTGTCAGCGGGAAAGTGTCCCTGATGAATCAAGTTATGACACTTTTAGTCCACTTGCTTTAATCTGTCTGTACTGAGGCTAAGAGAAGTCCTGTGGACCAACCTCATGTCTCCCTCGAGCAGTTACACTTTTCTTTGTGCTATAATGTTTTCCTACAGATGTCTGGACATTCCAGGATAATAGCTTAAGAAAACGTCATGAGCACTTCCTTCCAAATCCTTTCCATTTCATTAATCATTAAATAAATAAATAAAATGCTAGCAACAGACAAAGCTGGACTGGGATAAACCTCTTCTAGCAGACCCAACAGAGTAGGTTTTATCACCTAGAGACAGGGTCAGAACTAGCCCCTGAAATGTCACGTTATTTTAGTATACTAAAAAATGGATACAGTCCAGAAAAACAAGAATATTGAATGTAACACACAATTGTTGAAACCTTTCAGAGTTATGTTTATTTTATACCTCAAGGTTCATATTAACACATTCTTATTCTTAAAGGATTTCCCTAAAAATCAGCAGAAATAAGAACTTATGCCATGCTACGGTGCATAAATAGCAATTATTTAATGATGATATCACGAGATTCTGTTAAATATTTATAATAGTTTTATTGCTATTTAGAACAGTGGTATTCAACCTTTTTTGCTCGAGTACCCCCAGATATAATTTCTCTTCAACTTTGTACCCCCAAAGTTGTTGGTGTATAATTCAAGTTATACATAGTATATAATCTACATCTAAAATAAATTAAACAAATTACATTACTGATTATTCAGTGTTTATCATAAAATAAGATATATATATTTTTTAAATTTCACGTACCCCCTAAGATGTCTTCGCGTACCCCAGGTTGAATACCACTGATTTATACCACCTATACTTATCATGGATGTGTTTCATTGCAGGGCAGTGATATACTTTGAGGAACGCTACCCAAGAGTACAGAATGCAATGCAGAAAGGTCAGTCTGTTTCATTTGTTCATTAGTAGTTTGAATATTGGTTGTGGTTGATGCATATTTGACCTTGTGGACGGTAAACAAGCCTCTTAAAAATTTCGCTTGAATTTAACACGCATTCTTGGAGAGCCCATTCTCTCTGCATTTACGTCAGTGACTTAAGTAATTTGTACAGTACTTAACAAAGTCACTTTAATATTATTTCAACATGATGTGATGGGCAGAATATGAATTTATTGTTGTAGAAACAATTCTTCAAAAGTAAGGACGGGTGAATTGGAAATAGTGTTTGTACTTACATTGTTGCTATGTCATACACTGAATACTGGGCCAGGTACGAATGTCGAAATAACTGTAAAGTGAAGAAAATAGCAGAAATAATTATTTTACGCACGTGACAGTTCAAACAAGTTTTCACTATACTGATACTCAAACGGTAAATGAACTTTTGTGTAATCGTGAAAGATTAAACTATATTTCAGAAAGCGATTTTATATTTATAAGAATTTTGATAATATCAATAATTCGTGGTCTTTCAGTTGCGTCAAAATCATATGACTTACAGAATTCAACACGTTTATTATACCAAATGACAAAGTAGTAGAGGCTTGACTCTCAGAAACTAACCTGAAACTATTATTTCCACCGAGATTAGATTTAGGAAGATACATAAAGAGCTATATATATAGAGAGAGAGAGAGAGAGAGAGAGAGAGCATAAAGTGTATTAATTAATTACATAGCTAGGGTATCAGAAATCTTATTTGAAAATGATCCTAAAGACGGTAAATACTATTCCAGAGTAGAAATGATCCAGTGAAACGAAATTTAAAAGTAAAGTTCTTGAGAACACGAAACTAAGTCTCCGCACCAAGTTCTTTCATACGGATCAGAAGTCTGGGAAGTAACGTAAAATAGGAGGAGGATAGAAACTGCAGAAATTCGTTTTCTGTTGATCAGCAACAGGAGGTCACGTATCAGAAAATTAATTACGGATTTACAATATTACATGAAAAGGCCAGTCCATGTGGGATTTGTGGTTGACAAAGTGGTACGTATCGCGACAGGTTTTTCACCGAGTACTTCGGTTTTCTCTTGTATCATTCCACCGCTGCTCCCATGTACTCGTATATCATCTGAAGGGTTGATAAATGGCCCGATAGGGGCTCAGTTGCACCCCTGTCCCAACAGTGACACTAATACACACTTTGTGTACTTGTGAAAGGAGCGGCCGTGTCTGTGTGAATAGGGCATACTTCCCCAAACAGGCATAAGGGGGAGCGTAGTTTAATGGGTGACGAAAATAGGAATTTGCATCAAAGTTACAAGTTATAGTAGAGTTTGTAAGACAGATACTCGTATGTGCTTGGAGTATATTAATTGGTTATAACGATGTGTATACAAGGACGTTCTGTCATATGAATATAACTGCTTTAACATGCACAGTTTAACAAATGTCACTCCAGAGCAGGGCTGCTGATTCAGAACGCCCTGAAAGAGACTGAAATGACGATAGTAAGTCGGGTTAATTCCGGGTATTCGGAAACAGAAGTACGTAGGTCGATGTAGACTTGCAATATTTTGAAACTTGACATCAGAGTGTAAAGAAAATAGAGTCATAGTTTGGTTTAAATTTTCATGAATGCATGTTTCAGAAGCAACTATTTTATTAAACCACGGTGCCAGAATTGAGTTTATTTTCAAAGCGATGTCGATTGATTTTTATGCTCGCTGGGTTGTAATTCCGATTTGGTATGGAAGGAAGGAGGAACTCGTTGTCTCCAGAGTATCTTGAAGTGCACTGTGTTCCTCGAGAAGTCGGAATTTCCTTCTAAAACATGATATTATAGTCCTAAAAAGGGCATGGCGATGTAGGCTTACAGAATTGCGTGAACATTTATTTATAGACCACCTTTAAGTTAAAGTGCTCCCTGGTGCGTGATTTTGTACCACAAACATTTAAGATAATTTCCTTCTCTCTCTCTCTCTCTCTTATTCCTGTGAAATAGACTAGTTCTACATTTGTGACTTTCCCTGTTGATAGAACTCGTAAGAGCGAAATTGCTTTGTGATAAATTATGAACATCGTATAACGCACTAACTGCATTAATCAGAATCATTCTTTAGAAGCTAATAGTCGCTCACATAGTCAAGATATTCCATGCCATTTAAGAAATTCGAAGGTTTATTACCACGTTCACAAAAGCTTGCCCCTGATCCGTATCTTGAACCATAGGAATCAAATCCACACCCTCACATGCAGTTCTTAGGATCCATGCATGCATGCTGCATACGCTGTCCATCTCATCACCTTCTTTTGATAACCTTGTTAATATGTTATCAACAGTGCAAATTATGAAGCTGTAAGAAGCCAGTTTTGACATGCATACAAAAAACAGGCAATTTTATGGCCTTGTTCGTGTCAGTCTTTACGTTTTTAGATAGACTTAAAGACAAATGGTTGTTTCAAATTTATAATGTATGTACCTTTTGTATGTTGTGCGCTAGAAGGATGAATCGGTGATCGGGCGACATGATAAATCTTGCTGGGTTCAACCGTTTCTGAAACAAAATAATTTGTACATTACGTATTTAGTTTTTATTTGATTTTTTACGCCTTACACTCACAAGTTCCGTTCAGCTTTGGATTATTTAAATGCATTTGTTTTAATTGACTGAAAGGGAATTCCAAAATGAATTTTTGCATGTAACTTGGACAAATGAGAAAATTCTGCGAGTACTTACAAAAGTCTGGTTGGTCATAAGCGATCGTATTGTGAGGTTAGCAGCATTGAGCAGACTGATGCCACCCCATTGGTCCCTGAACACCAGCTCCTCGCCTGGACAAATAAAATAATTATGATAGTTATAGCTAATAGTAAGGCCTTTCTTACGTTACGCGTTCCACATCATTCTTCACTATCAACGTCTCATTAGACGCTATATAATCTGAGCTACTGAAAAGGCGAGCTTCGAGACGCCTGTCCTACCAACATCGACGTGAAATTCTGAATAAAGTCAAGATGAACATTGTAATTCCACGACACGTATAACCCGACGCCGACATAAGTTTCCGAATCGAGGGACGCCACGCGAAACAATGCTGGCAACTCGATGCCTCGTATCACGAGGCAGTTAACCCTACAAACAGGGCAGGGCTGGATTAAGATCTCTGCATTTTTGTTTCGTAGGCCCTAGGCACAGGCGTACGGAGCATATGAATGAATGTTTAAATTCGGCCATTTCGTGTTTACGCATATGTTTCAGTTCTCTGATATATTTTTATGAACTAGTCAGAATTGTGCTTCACTTGTTCCCAGTATAATTCGTGTAGGCTAATTTTTATAAAGCGAACTTAATACAATAATTAATATTACTTTGTGATATAAAATTATGCAATTATAATGTCAAAAATAAATAATTGCCTTTGAATTTTTAAATTTAAACTAATTCCTGTAATGTAATTAGGAGAGCCACGGTGGTCTAGCGGTTAGAACGCTGGCCTTGTAATCCTGGGGTCTCGGGTTCGATTCCCGGCGGTGCCCGAATTTATTACTTGTGTTGGGCAAGGCCGTGGTCCAGGCAACACGGAGTTTTCCTCCGGGGGCTTCCGTGGCATCCCAACAATTACTCCATTCACACACAGAAGAAGGCAATGGCAAACCACTTCTGTATCATCTGCCAAGAACGTATATGAACAGGTCCCAGTCCGAGAAAAGGATGGAAGGATCCTGTTCATATGGACCTGTCGTCAGACAGAACACAAAAAAAAATGTAATTGATGATACTAAATTTTGTATTCATACTTGTATATCTGTTTTTATAACTTATTTAGATATTCTGAATCAACTGCTTGTGTTATTTGGCGTCATTTTCGGCGGAAGCATTGTTGTGTGCGGTGACTTGTAATGGATGTTGAGAGAAGTGGTCTTAACCCATTTAAACGTATTCTTTCGGGTTAGGCCTATTGGTCGGACAGGAAAAACCACAAAATTGCATTAGAATAGATTTTGGTCCTGCCAAGACTCCAACTAGATGTATTAAAACTTTCACCACTGGCCCAACCTGCTTTATTTGTCATTATGAAGAAGTTTTTTTAAAAAAATGAGATAAGTGTTTTCATTGTAGATTGTGGTCCCATGTGGAGCTATAAATTAATAATTAGCTAATAATCCATTCTGTGCCCACTGGTGGATGTGAAAATATATCCGATATTCCAAAAAGTTATTATTTGGGACAAACACATTGACATGGAAGTAATATAATTTCCTCGCAAAATATGGAAATTAGGCTACAGTTGTTATTGTTTTACAGTTCCAACACAAATCAACACAAACCTCATTAATAGTGAGGTTACTACTTATATGTGTTTCTGTTCGTTCTTGTGTCAAAACTAATTATACGGGACCCCATAATTCTAATAAAAGCACGAAAATAAATCAGTTTTGTGTCTGATATTATCCGCACTTCAAGCCCGTCGTGTTGGTTGTAATAAATCGCTATCCTTCACTGCACTATATTGAACAAGCTGTCCCGATATTCATTTATCAATAAGCAGGCGGTCCCTATTGGCAAAATACCTCAGGATGTAGATAATGGACAGCAGAGGTTAGGAGTGGTTGGTTATTTGCACGAAACCCGTCATTTGTGGGCCGTGAAAGATATAAAGTCATCAAAAGAAACACATATTTCACCAATAACAGATTTTATAAACGTGAGAAGAAATTAGGTCTTGCTTTTTAGAATACCCTTTTGTATGAAGCACTGCAGTTTTGAACATCTGCATGTTAATGTAGAATTTTACAATACATTTTTAACAGCAGAAATGATAATCACTCGATCGATATATTCAGTTTAAAAATTGTTCATATTTTAAGCGATATCTAATATGGTTTATTCCATACCTTGTGGAGTAGAGATTAAGAGATGTTAACAAAATACCCTTTGGATGACACACGAAGATGGATGTGTACACAGTACTAGTTGTAGAAAAATAATGGAAGGAGTGTAAATTACCACGTAATCTTTTAGTTGTTCGGGCGGTATTCTTGCAAAAGTTTGCTCACAGCTTACTTTCGTAACATGAGCAGCTGTGTTGTAATTCTGTTTCAACTGGCAGCGTCCTTCCATGAAACATGTAATTCTAGATTTAACCCTTTGAGGTCCATACTACTTTGACATATCGTATTCTACCGTATCCAGTAGGCCTGTATTTTGTTTGAACTTCAAAACGCTGGGAGTAACGTATTGAAATATAAAGCAATTCTCCAAGCGCTAGACTGACACCGACTCATGACCAAATATGATTTACTTTTTCAATATAGGAGAAACCAAAAAGGACGAAATTTATTTACTCATTTATTAGAGTTTTTGCAAGTATTTTCCGTCCTTCATATTTGTTTATTTTTCCTTTATTGTGCCTCACTTTTTTTTGTGATTTTAATGTAGTCGGACTGAGTTCTGATGAGGACGTGAAAGAATTAAACTGTAAACAACTGCTATTTTGATAACGATAACGAATACAAAGTAGGGAAATTTTACACATTTTTAGTTGTTACCATTCCAACCTGCAAAGTTGTTGTATAGAATGGAGCTGAGAAGGAAAATGCATCAACTACAAAGCGCGTAACACATGAAATTCTGCTTTAGGCTTGTGGCTCAACGGTACCTGCGACAGTACCAAATTTCTCATCCAAAATATGGATATGAAACAGGGAAGACGCCCCATGCTTGAATTGTACGTTTAGGGCAGCCCATAGTGTCGATCCCACCATCATGTTGGTATTACCGATTGTAGGAAATTAAAAAAAAGAACTCATTTAAGACATCCTCCAGTAACATATTTGTTCTAAATTGTATCTAAATCCGTCCAGCACTTCTCGAGTTGAATCGTGGGGAAAATGTTTTCATGAACTTCTACATGAAAAGGAAGCATGTGACTGTTTCTTAGTACACACGTTTCTTGTGTCTGTTATTATTATTTAGTTGACGACAGGTCAGGTCCATATGAACAGGATCCTTCTATCCTTTTCTCGGACTGGGACCTGTTCATATACGTTCTTGGCAGATGATCCAGAAGTGGTTTGCCATTGCCTTCTTCTGTGTGTGAATGGAGTAATTGTTGCGATGCCACGGAGAAACCGGGGAAGCCCCCGTAGGAAAAAACTGTGTTTCCTAGACCACGGCCTTGCCCAACGCAAGCTATAAATTCGGGCACCGCCGGGAATCGAACCCGAGACCCCAGGATTACAAGGCCAGCGTTCTAACCGCTAGACCACCGTGGCTGCACCGTGTCTGTTATAAATACATAAATAGGCGCCCTTCAAATCGTGCACTAATTTATGGACACCCTGTATTTTGTTAATACAGATCCAGACAATTTCACTTCGGAGTTGACGTTAAGCCTGACGAAGTACAGTAGACAACACGTTCACACAAGACGTTCATCGACGGCTGATTTAAAAAGTATATGACAGAGTGAAAGCTAAAGAAAAGAGAGAATATCGGAATGATAGATAAAAAGAATGAAAGGTCGAAGGAGAATAAAATGGAAATAATAAAGAAAAGTTTGTGGAGTCGTTAATAATGTTGCCATTATAAGCCATTGGTTCTATGCTAACATGCTGCATCTACCTCGTCTCTATGATAAATGCAAAAGGACACTTCCCCGCTACAGTGTGACTGTAATTGATGTCTCGGTTTATTTCCACGTCAGTGAACTAGACATTTGCTCCCGGGGATCGTAGAGCACCGTAGAAAACATGTTTTTTCCTGGTTTCGTCTCGTTGGTTTTCAAGAGAACGACGAAGCACGGGAATTGCAATAAGATACGTAGACATCATGAACCCATATACAAATAAATGTTTATTCCTAAGTTGCACGCAGAAAGTATTAGACTGAAGCGAATTATGACGCCATTTAGATATATCAGTTTCTAGTACTATTTATTGTTATTTTATGACCGTTTATCAACTGCTGAATTTACGTAGCATCCTTAAAATACAGCAAGATTATTGTGAATGATAAATCGGAATGTATGAGGAAGAAAGCGTTCATGACCTGTTCTCAGGTACTATCACGACATTTGCCTGGAAGGACTGAGTAAAACGACGAAAGACTCAGTCAAGACAGCTAGGAGAACAGATCTCTGGGCTGAGATTTGAACTCGGGACCTCCTATGTTCTTCCGATATGTTGGTATCTGCCTCCGAGTTTACAGAGCCTTAAAGTTCAGAACAAGAACACCGTCCTCATCGCCGTGAGAATCTCAAAACTCGCTGCTACAGATGACATGTGTGCCTATTCCCTGTGGTAGAATGAACTGAAGAGGGTGTCAGCATAAGCGCGTCATATTTATAATAGAGTCTTTTCTAGTAAGACTTCTGTCATATCGGCAGGTAAAATTCTTTATAGCTACCGCCACGGAGCAGAGGTCTTCTTGAGAAGTTAATAAATAGTTCGATCAGCAAATTTTACACCCACACAGTCAGTACGTACAGCTGCACGTCTTTAGATAGCACTCGGGGCTAAAAAGTACACGCTGTCAGGTCTTGGCACGTACGATATATATGGTGTACAGTCAGAACACAAGGCGTTCTACTCTATAATGCACCCATGTACCACGAAAATGAGCAACATCCTTTCGCACGCCCTGTATACACTACCGGTTCCATTAGCGCTGTTTACGTATATCGAATGGAAATTTCTTTCTGTTCGATTTTGTGTAACAATAGGAACACAATTTCCACACCCTACTTGACTTCGGCGCTCTTAATTAATTTATGATTTGCTTCAGAGTAGAGAAAGGTCCCATTTGATTACTAAATCTGATAGAATGGAGT